TTTTGAGTTTCCTATTTCGCATCAAATGGAATTATGATAGCCCCTTTTCACAATCAACAGTTTCTCATTTGCATCACAGTATATCCAACATGTATGTGACGCATTTTGGGGCAATTTTGTGGTTTCTGACTAAATTGCTTCGCATACACATGGGATTAGATTGTGATGTAGATAAGAAAAGTTAACCGTGTCTGAAAAGGGGCATTGTAACAGAGGTCAGACATAGCTTTTGATGAGTTGTTACGGTCTCCTAGTTTTGATTGAAAATTAGGGGCGCTTTTATCATTTGATCTGCCGCTCGCACGTTGATCACTAGACCAGTTCCCGAACCCCTTCTGTGCTATCGCTCTATCTATCTATATATATTTATAGAGAGAGAGGCTGAACCCAGGAGGGCTCAACCCCGGGGGAACTCACATATAAAAAAGACGGGGTTGCTCGTCAGAAATTTTGAAAAGAATTCCTAAGAGTTACCATGGCCAAGATCCGGTTTTGTGGGCGTGGCTTGAAATTTTTTTCTCCCCTAAGAGGTACCAATTCTTACGGAACACATTATCTCCTGTCATATTTTTTCGGCTCAATATACTAAAACGTGCCGCAAAAGCTCCTGCTGTGGACCTTTTCAGGCTAAACACCCAAAGACATGCCAAAACAGCGTTTTTAACCCTTAACAGGTATTACGAGCATCTCCGTTATTTTTATGTGGGAGTCCCCCGGGGGTTGAACCACTATATAGAGCGGGAAATTTAGCGCCGGGGTAACTTTGCTATTCCAGAGCTTGCGATCAGCTGTGTACTAAATCAAGGCAAATCCTGTAAAATGTTTTATCAGTCTCAATTTGATTGAAAGTGAAAATTACTTTTGCTTAAAAATATTCAAAATCGTTGGCTTTGGACCGCAATCCTTTAGAGTGTCCACTTAAACAATAGGCTTTTTCCCGAGTTACCTTGTGCCTCTGTTTTAAAACGAGTTTTTGTGAATAACCTTTCATATGAAAATGAGACTGATTGGAAAGTGAACCTGTCGGCGGAACACATTTTCATGTGAATTGTTTCGCACGAAGTCTTGTTTTGACACAGAGACATAAGGTAACTCAGAAGTGGGCTATTAAACTTCTTGCCCCTGTTTTCTATGAGCGACTTTTCAACTCCACTGTGTCCATTTCCGTTCCCAGGGCAAACTGTAATGGCAAGCGCTGGGAACGATATTTGACTGCGTCTTGTTGACTATTTGCTCATGGCAAACTCGGTCAAACTCGGTTTTGCAGTCTGGACATAAGTACATGAACCGGTACATGATTGGGTTGGTATTTAAGGAGGCATATTAAAGAGGTACCCTGACGTTTGTTGGGTAGGAACAGGAAACCTGAATTGCTGAAAATGTCTTATTTGTTTTTTTTCTTGTTTTATAGTGGCGTTTACCGAGCGGGGGTCTGGGTCCCTGCAGTCGAGTGGACCTGTGGTACCTGTTCGTGACAGTATTTAGTATTTGCACCATTTTTGCGTTTTGCATCTTTCAACTGCTTGTCAAGTCCAAGGAGCCTGAAACGACAGCTGTATTTGCCGCCATTTACTCTCTCTGTGGAGTGATGATCCTCTTGAGAATGCATTACTTTTACATCTGGTTTACCAGACGAAGCGCATTTTGGAAAAAGTGGAAAATACTTAACCGAGTTTGGACAGTTGTCTCCCCTGGGGCAGTGTTAAAAGTGGACAAAGTAGCAACAATAGTTTAAAGACAGTTACTTTCTCAATAGAGTACTTTTTCAATTGCAGTTGTAGATATAGCGTTTTAAAGCAATTACACCTCAAAGCAAACACTATTTGCATGCGGGAAAGTTTGTATTGAAAATCAATCGCAAAAAAATGTATACTTCCTGATTTTAGGTAGCTACAGTAGAACCTCCGGTTGTGACCGCCTCTCCTCCGCGACCAGTTTTCTAAAATACCAAAAGTTTCCAAGTCAAATCACTATATTTGGAACCTGTTGTAAGCGACCACCTCTCCTAAGCGATCGCGACTACTTTCAGAGCTAAAAATTTGAAATTTTCTTTTGATTTTAACCTCCCATAAGCGACCACTTTACAAATAATAGAGCTGAAATTGGATAATAAGGTGATATAACATTATCGGATTCCTGGAGACGGAAATTTCTCAATGGGAAGTACCGGATTTTTTCTCGAAATTTACTTTTCACATGAATAAAACATTAAAACACGGGGCAAGTCTCTGCAGTTACCATATGCTAATGCGGCAAAATTTTGACCCATTATGGTCTAAGCTCTCGTAAGCGACCATCTCCCGTAAGTGACCACCCTAGGCTTGACATTTTGGGTGGCCGCTTACGGGAGGTTCGAATGTATTCTAAAATTGCTTTAAGTGAACCGTTTTGGTTATTAACTTTCTTTTATAATCTGAGTTTTCGTACTCAAAATCAACTAGAGGCAATAAGAAACGTTTAAAAGAAACCTACTTCTTTCTTTGGGCTTTTACCCAGGAAAACAAAATTTATCGTAGTAGTGAAACCATGGTTAAAAATTTAAAAACGTACAGCAAGTTAATGTTATATTGAAATGTTTCATATGTGATACATAATGTGGTTCAATCCGTAAAATACACACAAAAGTTAAAGTTTAGGTTCTCTTTCTACTAGTCAAAGCTCAAATCCATGATAAACATTGGAGTCGCGCTAGCTTCAGTTTAATAGTTATGTTCATTGTTGTAGAGGTGCATTATATTTCGTGCCTATACATTCAACATATACCATCATGCATATTGTGAGATTTAAAGTTGTAAAGCCAGTAATTATAAACCCAACACGCTTTTACTTGCAAAGAAATGGTAACAAAGCTTCGAAATTACTTACAATGAAAAGAAAATAGTTTTAAGTTACCAAGTAGCTGGGGATAATATTTTATAAGAAATGGCAACATGTCGCGCTTTTGCCGATGAGAAATAAAGTCTTGTTAGTTTTGGTAAATCTGCAAGCTATGACTTTTGACTAGCTTTTGTAAATTTCTTGTTGACCTCAAAACTTTCAAATTCAAATCTGGAATTTTCAATATTTGGCAGGCCAAATCTTGAATTTCCAAATCTTAACTATTCAATATTTGGCATACCAAATCGTAACTTTCCAAATCTTGAATATTCAATATTTGGCAGGCCAAATTTTGAATCTCCAAATCTCGAATTTTCAATATTTGGCGGGCCAAATCTTGAATTTTCAGTATTTGGCAGGCCAAATCTTGAATATTCAATATTTGGCGGGCCAAATCTTGAATTTCCATATTTGGCAGGCCTAATCTTGAATTTTTCAGTCTTGAATTTCCAATTCGAGTGTGGTTAATGGTTCCTCTAACACCATGGGTCTCGCAAAATTTTTAGTTTGCCTTATCGTGCCCGTAAAGAAAACCTTCTCTCGCCTTCACGTAAAGCCTCGCATTTAACATTTACCACCCCTAAAATGCAAGGAGAGCGTCATTGCAGCCTAGTGACTCATCGGGCCAGCGGTCATCTCCGGTTTAAGCAGTATCAGACGACTCTGAATGTTTCTACGCACCTCCCTCCCCTCCCCTCCCCTCCCTTCTTTTCTCCTGCGCCGGGACCTGCACGCTGAAACGTGCTGGTAGTCATACATCTTCGTTCTCATTTAAGATGGAATGATGGGAAAAAAACGAGCAACAAACAAGCAAAAAGAGTTTAATGAGTACTTGCAAAACTAAGTGGGCTTCTGTACATGTCCCAATTTACATACACTTAAGCTTGGATTTTTGTAACCGAATGTAGGTTCTATCACTTAAAACAAGTCACTAAACCAGACTCTAGCCATTCAGGCGTTTTATGTTTGTACCAAGAGCCCATTGGTTTGTACATAATACTGAAGAACCACTGCCAACTAATTAACTACACCCATTCGCTTTATTTCAAGGACCAACTTTAAAAATCTCTGTAATACTGCAATGGGACGCTCAAGACCATAATAATTAAATCAAAATTAAATTAAACTTGATTTGTTGTTGATATGGCCAGCCTGCTGGTTGAGGTGAAGAGGGATAAACAAGAGCCCATGTCTCTTGGGATTGTTAAATTTGGCAACGCGCTGCAAGTTTCGTCAAAATCC